ACTCTAAAACAACTGACAAACGAGAAAGCGTCTGGTAACTATTGCATACTAGCAGAGATATACTAAATTGGCAGCAATCTCCTGGTTCATAAACTTCTGAGATTCGGGATCAGTTATTCAGGAGCTTAAAGACGATTCAACTGTACATCTCACAAAGACAATAAATGCGAATGTGACAACCATAAAGGTGTCTCCCTATGTGTATCGCTGGGACAATTCTTGGCAGGATCATCTTGAACAGATTCAACTCTTCTCTGGCCGATTTAATCTTCTCTGAATCTCAGTGTAGCTTTCGATCTGGTAGAAGCAATGTGCACATGATTTTCAGTTTGAACCAACTGCAGGAGAAATCACAAGAGCATGACAAGGATTTATTTGTTAATTTCGTTAATCTCAGTAAGGCTTTTAATACCGTTTCACAGATGCTGTTTGGATATTTGTAGCGATTCCATAGTTGTTACAAATATCTTTAAATGTTTATAATTGGTAACAGAAGCCATTGGTTTATACCAACGGCTTCCCATACTTAATACTTCTCGAATTCACTCTCGCGTGGTCATATGTGACGTCATGAGCTGCGGTGCGATTTTCGCTTCTAGCGTCTTATATGCACGTGTTTATCGTTGCTTAGAAATCATATATGTAAACAATTACAGACTATCATCACTCTCTTGTCCGTATATTGCTTAATATGTTGTACAGTAATTGACATCTTTGATAATGGGTTATGTAAGCCGAAAGCTTAGATTGGATTAAAAAATATAGATCAATATTTTGATTTTCTTTTCTCGTTTAATGATAATGTTATTAAGCTTATCAGACGTTATGAAAAGAATTTACATAAAATAAATAGACAACACTTGTCTATATTATTTAGTGAAACATGTATGAATGAAAAAATGCTGCCTAAATACACACACACACACACACACACACACATATATATATATATATATATATATATATATATATATATATATATAACTTTAGGAGATCAGCCAATCACGCTTGGTTTAAGCCTTACCTGCCACTGTGGCTAGACAACAAACGCAGTAAATATGTCCATTTGTGTAAATATGTGGCAATTGATCCTCAACCACCTGAGTGGAATGGCTCAACCACGTGTCCCATTTGTCTAAAAGTTGGCAAAAGCCCTACAGACCCCGTGTGTCCATTTGTATCTGCGACGAGGGAGTCCACCAGATATTTCGTTATCATGAAAATTTCGTCAATATATTTTGTGGCTCATATTTTAAGGGTTTGTCGAAATTATTAAAAGTTTGTATTACAGCTTTCTATTATTCCTTTACATATAACATTCTATTAAACAATAAATTCCAAGCCTCTTTAGATTTAGTAATACTGTTTACTAATGTTCCAGTTAAACTTCCTAATATCTATCTATCCGTCTATTGAGTTTTCCAACATGTGGCGTTCCCAGAACTGTGGTTTCAGATGGTAACACATCACTAAAGAAGTATTATAAGCAAGCTTTAAATTCAGTGTATGTCATTTCATCTAAATGTAAACAAACTTTTTTTCCATAGCGTTAAACATGTCGGTGCCAAAGAAAGTGTATTTGCGAAGAATTTGCAGCTGAAGCACGCACAATTCTTGTTGAGACTTACGGCGACCATGCTCTGTCAGAAACAATATTGGTTTTGACGCTTCAAAATAATGATTTTGACGTCGAAGATAAAGAACGCTCTGGCACACCGAAAAGGTTTGAAGACAAAGAATTGGAGGTATTACTTCATGAAGACTCATGTCAGGCGTAAGCTGAACTTGCAGAATCATTGATCATACAACAGTTTGGAAACATTTGAAAGCATTAGGAATGATTCAAAAGCAAGGACATTGGGTGCCGTACGAGTTGAAGCCGAGAGACGTCGAACGACATCACGTGTGAACACCTGCTTCAACGGTAGAAAAGAATTTTGTGTCGTATCGTGACCAGCGATGAAAAGTGGATACACTACGATAACCCTAAGCGTAGAAGATCGTGAGGTAAGCCCGGCCATACATCAACATCGGTGGCAAAGCTGAATATCCATGGTTTGAAGATTTTGTTTTGCATTTGGTGGAATCAGCTGGGTGTAGTTTATTATGAGCTGATCAAACCGACCAAAATCATCACAGGAGATCGCTATTGACTACAATTGATGCATTTGAGCCGAGCATTGAAGAAAAACACGGCCGCTATAAGAGCAGACACACGATTGACATTGCATTTAAATTTTTGAAAATTATAGCTATCAAGGAAGCAAGTAAAAGGAAGGGAGTTCCACTGTTGGGAAGGGAGATAGAATAAGCTGTTAGGGTACAAGAGGTGGTTACATTTAACTGTTTCGACAGTAAAAGAGTGGGACCAAGATGCCAACCTAGTAGCACGCTTAAATACATGCAGTTGGGGCACCAGTGAAAATAGCTCCTCAGAGCAGTTGCCGTGAAAATATTTATAGAAAAGACAGAAGGAAGCCACATTACGTCGATGAGAAAGTGACTGGAGTCGAAACTCCAAGTCAGAGCCAATCACATTGCATATCCGTCTTTGGATTTTGTTGAGAACCTCGACACGAACACCAGACCATATATGGTAGCAGTATTCCATGCATGAACGAATGGTAGATTTGCAGATATGAAGGATGGATTCAGGCAAGAAACACCCCCCCCACTGGCGTGACAAAGAGAACAAACTTTCTTTGCGTTAGGTACAGCTATTGATTCAATGTAGTTGTTCTACCTTAGGTCAGTGAAGAAACACACACACACAAAAAACGTTTACACTTCTTCACTACCCACATCATTTCATTGTCATCACTAGAATACAAGCATACAAAGGTCACAAGTCCAAATAGGTAGGCATCCCCGAAAATATAGACACCTCCAACAAAAAAAAAAAAAACACACACCAACAAAAAACAAAATTAATCTGATCTTCCAAAAAACTATCAATAATATTGTAAACAAACTAGTTATTCCCAACTCTAAGATCTTTAGCATCGCTTTCAAGACTATCAGAGATATAGTTAGAAAGAAAAATAGATTCAACATTTAGAATGCCGGCATTTATGATATAAAAAGCCTGCAATATCGGAAAAGCTACATAGACGAAACATCTAGATATTTAAAAGACTGCATCTACGAACATAACAGAGATCTACGTTAGGACAAACCTTTAAACTTGAAACAAATATAAACAAAACAGGTCATAACTTTGATTTAATAATGCCACTTAAATTAGAAAAGAACATAATATATTACGTAGGAAATACTTAGAAGGAGTTCTAATAAATTGTTTGCCATCTATAAATACATATTACTAATACTTTATTATATTAACACCTTGTATAAAATCCAAACTTAAGGATCTACCTACTACCAAAACCGGTGTAACATAAAATATTTCAATATCACACACAACAATCCTTAATCAACATATGGGCAACTAGCAGAAATAAATGAAAATGTCCACTAGGCGCTTAAATGCACACAAACTCATACATGTTATTAACTGAATCCCGCATAGATCAATCAGAATTATAACAGAAAAAGACATGAATTATATACATGAACGCTTTTTTTCACAAGACAGGTACACGTGAGGATTGCTTAAGAAATGGAAAGCAAACAACATAAAAATAGAAATACAACAATTTTCTTTTCTTCTCCATAATTCATTTTTTTTGTGAAGCATAAATAAAGGCTAAATATGTTAATTTATAAACGTTTCCTATTTGTTCTTATCCTATTTTTATTTATATATATATATATATATATATATATATATATATATATATATATATATATATATATATAAACTTAAATGTTAAAGCCTGTTATTTGTTGACTTCAATGTTCACTTTTATATTTGCATACGCTCTATCCCTGATATTGGTCACTTTATTCCATAAATATAGCATACATTAAAACTATATTAAAATAATATATATATATATATATATATATATATATATATATATATATATATATATATATTATAACATATATATATTATAAAATATATATTAAATAAACAAATATATATATAAATATATATAAAAAATATATATATATATATATATTATATATATAAAAATTTGTGTATTGAGGCATAAAATTCTCCTTTAGACATATCTGATTTAATAAATTACAAACATTATCTCTATTATTTTTATCATATATTAGGTTAAAAACGTTTGTAAATTATTCAAATCTGACATATATATATATATATATATATATATATATATATATATATATATATATATATATATATACACACACATAACACATACACATATTTATATATGCCCAAATTTTCTGTGCCAATATGTTTTTCTCTTTCTTTCTATCATTTTTCTACCAATATACAACTGATTCATTGATTGGCCTATTTCAATTTTTTCTTTTTAAAAAGTTAAAATGGATTATTTAAAGCCGAAACATATTTTGGAATTTAAAAATATTTCTTTTTCTTACGAGTCAATATTAACAGTTTTCTTGACAATGATTTTTATTAGATAAATGTTCCATTATTTAACCCATAGCTAAGGGGAGAAGATGGATTCATACCATTCCCAGGGGGTGTTTGCGTGTAAGTGAATATAAAAAACCCGTGTGGAATTCGATCTCGGCTTTACGATGTCTCATTCTGAGCCACTTAACAACCTACAAGGGTAGGAATACCAGAACAGGGATTAATAGGAGTAGATAGGTTCGCCTATTGTCCGGTTCACACTCCAACCCCATCTTTTGAACAGGAGTAGAGGTATATCCCTTGTTTTTTGTTTAGGACTGGATTTCCAGTTCCTTCTGATGTCTTTTCATTTTCTTTCACTCCCAGCAGCCACTTGCGTCTTAGTGGCATTATTGCCTTGCTTGCCGTGAATTGATTAAGAAAAAAAGATATCGGATCGAATGTCCGACTATGGCATATTTTGTAGAGAAAGTGATTCTTGGTCGGGTTGATAAGTTTTCAGCACATCCCGTCTCCATCTATGTCTCACTGTGTCGATCTATATGTGGAGAATAGCCTGTATATATGTGATTCGCACTCCCTGTAGGTGAAGTACTCACCCTTTGTTCGAGCTAATGTCGAGGTCTGACTGATGCATTCAAATTTTTCGCTCCGACACGAAATATGGGCAGAGATTGAATGGTTATACCATTTATTTGGCACTCGATGACGTCTTTCTAAACTTAGCCAAACTCTTTTAGAATCATCCGTGCCTTGAATGAAGCTGAATTAAGATAGACATTTTTTGAATAGATGAACTTGGTGAAGACGGCAGAGAAAGGCTTTCTGTATTAGGCAAGACAACAAAGAGAAGGAAAACGCCCGAAATAATCTGAGTTTGTGTGTGTCTACTTCAAGAGAAATACTAATAAAAGCCTTTTCTTTTTAATCATTTCACCCCAAGCAAGGCGGGAATGCCGCTAATTCGCAGGAGGTAAAAGTGAAAGTGAAAGTGAAATTGAAAGTGAAAGTGAAAGTGAAAGAGAAGATGGTGTATAGACAGGATTGAGGAAAGGATAAAAGATGAACGATGTTTAAGAAGACAGAAGGTGGCGATTGGCATTGCATTTAAACTTTTAAAGATTGTAGATATGAGGAAAGCCAGGAAAAGGAATTCCACAAGTGGGAAGTACGAGAAAAGAAACTATTGGAGTAGAAGTGGCAGTTGCGTTTAGTTATTTCAAGGGTGGGACCTAGATGCCAATCTAGTAGCACGCTTAAATCGATGTAGTCACTAGGGAAAATTGCCCGTCAGAGCAGTTGCCATGAAAATATTTGAGAAAGGGTCAGATGAGAGTGGAAGGTATTTGTCATAAAGGGAAGAAGATTTATAAAATTAAACCCGAATATTAATTAGCCTTATGGCATTAATTTGGGGTTATATAAAGAATGAAATATTAATTTAAAATTAAAAGTGGAATAAAAAGGGGACCAAAAATTACTTTAAAATATATCGATAAAAGGATATGAAAGAAAGGGATTGAAAGAAAGAGCATTGTGGAGATCTTACAGTCGGGAAAAGTTTATAAATTAATATCACATGTAAAGAAGGGGATACAGAAATTAGAATTATTTATACATCCGTCATTTGAAGAGTTATATATATATATATATATATATATATATATATATATATATATATATAAAAATAAACATTTTTATGTTTATACATTCTTTTTATAGATACACATATTTAAGTAAATGCTCTGTTTATAATAAACAGTATTAACAACATTTACCGGCCTGAATGTCCGAGAAATCGTCATAAAAAATATACGTCCTCCGACAGGAATCGAACCTGTATCCTATACGGAACAGTCATATAGCTATATAAAAACAGTAAAATCGACCTTCCTAACCAAACGCTCCTCTGTGGCGAAATCGGTAAAAGCACTTCAGCTTACTAATTAACCTATAGCTGGGGAGACGAGGTGAATTCATACGTAAGCCGACTGGAATTGGAACTCAGCTTCACGATTAATAATTCCGAGCCGTTATTCGTTACACCACTGGTACCTCAAAGTTTACAGCACCTGGTATATCCAAATGGGCACCCATCAAGGTACTGAAAAGGTTCGACGTTGCTTAACTTCGGTGTTTCAACATGATGTGGCCGTAACAAATGTTTATTTTACGTTAGGGTTTGAAACTGACCAGAACTATATACTTCGAGATTCGGGAAAGGCCTGTGTTCAAAGGTACTGTTCGGGTTTTGTCGGGCCATTGGGTTCTTTGTAGCCAAATGGTTAAATCACGTCAGATCTAATGAAGGTTTCCCCTCGGGCAGGGTTGCCCAACCTTCTTTTTTTTTCCTAATGAGCCAAATTAGAAATTTAGTTATATACACCGGGCCACAAAAATATTTTACCTAAATATGCTTTTAAAATGTTCAAAACGTTGTGAATATCAAATTTTAATAAATATATAGGATGTCCATAAAGTTCGTGCGCACATTAAAAAATTTATAACTTTATTTGTATTTGCGATAGAAATAATCTGTAAAAAATGCTATAAAGTTCAATGTACCTAGTTTTAAGTATAGCTAAAATAACTAATGTGATTTCAGGCATTACAGTAAATCAGTTGGCAAATGTTTACAATGAACTGCAAAATCGTATTACCCTTTGTATTGCTAATGATGGAGGACATGTGGAAACTTAAATAAAATTTCAATAAAACCTTAAAAAATATAGATTTACTTCTTTCTAATCCTTTTTACGAATTATTTCTATCTTTTCTATACAAATAAAGTTATAAATTTTTTAAAGTGCACACGAACTTTATTGACACCCTGTATATAATTACAAAAACATTGTATTATTGACATTAAAAAAAGTAAGAAATTATACATGTACAAAATAAAATAAATTCAATGAGATTTTTTACATTACTTCCCTTTTATAATATTGTTAATATCTGCTTTCATGGTCACTCAATTATGTGCCATGCGTGATACAGTCTTAGGCGATCATGTATCTTTC